CACAGTGACTTCATATTCCGATTTTTCAATGTTTCTTATTATTTTTCCACTTAGATACGTAAAATATCAATAATATTGGCAAAGTCATCTCTTTAATATCCTTTCTTATGAACTAGTAACAAGGAAACACTTGTACAGCGAGAAAAAGCAATAGGAAGCAATAAAATTTAAAATTTGAAATGGTTGTCCGCCATCTTGGATTTCCGTTTTTTTGTTAAAATTATAATTTAAAGCAACTTTCAAAGGGGAAAAAGCTCAGAATGTATAAAAGAAGTATCAAACTAATGTTTATTACCCAAACAAATGACTTTGGAAGTGTTATTTGGAAAATAGAGCAGCATATTTGTCAAAGCAAAAAAGTGACAAATTTTACCCCACCCCTCCCCCCCAAATATTCGATGTTGAAACATTTTGATGTAATTCAAAAACTAGTCCCAAGCAAAGACCATTTTAACAACAAAAAGCACTATAAGTGTAAAAACGCGATCTTAAAACAAAAAAATCACCATTTTTTAAATTTTCCAAAACCTATGTGTCAGAAACTGGTTGCCATGGCAACATGATTAATCACATGGACATGGTAATTATACCAAAATGTTCCTAGATAAATTTTAGGAAAAGTCAGAAAATTTGAACGTCATAGCTCTTTCGGTGTAGGAGTTATCACGATTTTGCCGGAGGGGGGGTTCGAAAAGCCCCCCAGTCTGAATAGGGTTAATCTTGTACATTGTCGAAATTTTATTGACATACCTTAGACGTTCTTCTAATTTAACGGACAGCTATTTGAACAATGGCTTTTAACTTATTAACATTTTTATTTATTAACATTTTTATTTATTTTTATTATAAAGCTTGAAAGAAAAGTTTTTTTTATTTGTTTTATTGTTTTTTTGTTGTTGTTCATGACACTTCAATCAAATCATTTTTAACCTTTTTTTTTTTTTTTTTTTAGCGCAAATTGTTTTGTAATTTTTACCAAAAATTTTAGTCAATGCTGCGGCTGGTTACGGTTTGCCACCCAACCGAAGCTTTTGTTTTTTTTACTCTGGGCATCCAGACGTTTGTACTGCCATAATAGTAATGATAACAAAAAAGTATATATAGAAAAAATTTCAACTTTTGTGCTGTCAGGGGGTCTGGCACTTGACCACCCCGGGGCCACCCCCGAGGCTTTTGCCTTATGCCTGCATCTCTATCCAAACATAACTAAACATGGATAATTTCGCTGGAAACACAAGGAGATTCGAAAATTGGCTCATCTGTTAAGAACGGAAAAGGACTTGTAGAATTTTTAAAGGTATGTTGTCTCGATTTTATGTCTCCATTTCTTCATTGCTTATCAAGCCAGAAGTCGAGAGCTATCGACGTGAATCGACACATTTTCTTTGGTTATGGAATGAAATTCCTGTTGATCTAGGATTTGAATACGTTTTAAAGGCTGTGATGATATTTCTAATTCTACTATATATTCAGTATAACTTCTATTACAGCGCACTGCTAACGAACTATTAAAAGAAGATATACAGCAATAATAAAGTAAGAAACATGTGTCGTGCGTCAAGTCTCAATTAAAATGGCACAATTACAAAGTCATTCGCTAACCGACACGAAAAATGCCGCATTAACCCTCAGTCGTACACGCAAATTCATACCTCCACCGTGGTACAAAGGGGGAAGGGGGGGAGGGGTGGATGAAACCCCTTCCCGGAGTTTGTGATATGTTGCAGTATTTTGAAACGATTTTGCCTTTAATGGAGAGCCTTTGATCTTCTTAACAAGATAAGGTACATTTTAGGGGTGGTGGCACTGCTGGAGGTCTGTGACGTCACCAACAATGGTCGCTATCTTTCCCACCATCTTGGATTTTACCAAGAATTAGAATTAGAATAAAACCGCGAGAAATGTTATTTTTTGTGCTTTACAGGGAAAATAACACATGAATAAGCACTTTGCATTATTTTAGCCAAGCGATTTACTTTTATTGTTGAAAGAAGTTGAAAAAACATGTATTACCACCCAAAATTGGCTTGACCAGCTGCTACTTATGACGTCATATCTCGTAACCATAGCAGCTGACTATCACTAAGCCATCACAAGTGTCCCCGCCCTCAGGAATTTGCTATCCAAGGCTAAGAAAAAGTTAATACCCAGGGGTTAGCCGGAGGGAGAGAGGGGGGCATGGGCGCACCTGTAATGGACTGATGCACAATCTCTAAAACGTCTATTTATGAAAGTACCCTAGTAATTATCGCTCATCTTCTTTAATCTTTCCCCATGAACTACTGCAATATATATGATGCATAACTACTGCAAAAACTCATATTTGTGCACTCTTCCTAAATCTCTTTTCAGATGGCAAAATGTTTCTTGCACGATTTTTGCTTTGACACTTACCTACACCGCTGAAAACATAAACTTTTCTCTTCTTTCTGTTAGCATAGGTTCTTATAGCTCTTTCCAAGGCAAACCAGTTCCCCATATTAAACAACTGCCACTTAGGTGCGACGTTGGTCATAACAAACGTAAGAGCTCGCTCTGCATCGCTACCAAAATCCGCGTTGGGTACCAAATGTCCTCTGGCAAGGTACTGTTGACCCGGTGGTGGTTTAAAATTGTTGTATAAGCCTCCTTGATTCCTGGCAAGATAGTCATCTGATGTGGACTGAGGATTTGGAGCTTTTAAAAATAATAAAAGTAACACTCTTGTTACCCAAGGAAGACACCACGGTGGGCAAATGTGACATCAAAAACGCTCACCTTCATTCATCTTTTTTTTTTTTAGTTTTAACGCAATTTTCTTATTCACTTGAAAATTTGCAACAATACAGAGCACACCATTCCCTAAAATCCTAAGGATGTCAAGAGTGATTTTTTTTTGGTAAATATGCCTTTCTACTCAAACTTAAAGATATAGCGTTTTGAAAGTTAAGTTTTCCGCCATTGTTACTAAAAATAGCACAAAATGGCGATAAATTCAAATTTCTAAACGTTACACCTTTTGAGTAGATAGGCATATTTAAAAATTCTTTTCACGTTGAGGTGAGTTCTTTCAGAAACCATCAGATATCCTATAACACTAAAAACAAAATTTGGCGGGAACTTTGTGACGTCATTTTCCCACTAAAAATGACAAAATCTGAAAAACAAAAAACATACGATTTTAGGGAATGGTGAGTTCTTTATTGTTGCAAATTTTCAAGTGAAGTGCGTTAAAACTAAAAAGGATGAATAAAGATGGGCGCTTTTGATGCCGCATATACCCACCGTGCACTATAGAAATTTTCTACACACCCAGCTTTACCTCTGTAATAAAGGCGGATTTTGATGTAATCCTTATTATTAAGACTGGGCTATTTTGCAGCTGCTAGGGACCGGGCTGGGAGTAGAAGGCTCCGGAGGCACCCCTCTATGTCTTTAACACCGCCCATAATACGGCCATCACAATTATGCAACTATTATTTAACTAGTTTTAATTTGATTGACATAATGGCGTAATTTATGTGACGGAAGTACTATGCAATAGTTTGAATTTATTGGCTGAACTCATACTTATAGAGAAGCAGCAGCCATAGAGGGAAAAATACTCAAATATTATTCGTCAAAAATAACGGTGACGTGATAATCACGTTATTTAGTAACAAATGGACCTCAAACAACGAGAACGCGGACGTCCCGGATGTCCAAAAGGGCAATCAGAAGTTGATATTTTGTCTTTTTCAGTGCTCTAACTCGACAAATTCGTACCACGGGAGTACCATCTTGGCCGCCATCTTGCATATTATCAAGAGTTAGAAATCAGGTAAAACAGTGAGAATTAATAATTGTTTGCGCTTAACAGATAAAATAATACATAACTAATTAGTTTGCCTCATATCATCCATAAAACCCAACCTCTATCGCTTTGAATAGGATTAAAGGGGAAAAAAAACAAAAAAAACAGCACCTCAAAAAGTATTTAAAGGCAGGCAAACACGACAACGTTTACTGTTCCTCCTGCACGACGCGGATGCATAATTATGTAGTACATTAAAAGTACTCATAAGATAATATGATTTAGGGGACACAATCTAAAATGCTAAAAGCATCTTTAATCTTCAAAGGTCAGACAAGATACCTGACGAACATATTTATGCCAATATGGAACCTGGCAGAAGCATAAAACTCCGTGGCCTATAAATTTGTTCCAATGTCGGGGGTACAAAGTGGATTAATCATGCTATGCATTTTACAGGCCTGGCTTAATTTGTTGACAAAGAAGCTTCTCGTGCTCAAAAGAGTATTCTTCAACATTACGCGACTTTTTATTTTTTATTCTTTTTACCTCATAGTATTCTAAGTTTGTTATATAAATATCTCAGCATTGTTCTTATCGAATGTGCACCGAGAGCGACAGGTAGTTATCGAACAATAGGGTTTATTTTTCGGAAAAGGCTCCGCAAAGAAAATTGTTCCTACACGCCATAGCGTAGCTTAGAGCTTGAAAATGACGCCACATAATTCAAAAGGAGAACTACAAAATGATGCTTAACCAAGCGCTTTATTTTCAACATGGGAGACCAGTGCCGGACTTACTTCTATAAACTTTTTCTACACACCATTTAAAAATCAAAGTTATTTATTATGTAAAATAAAAAACAAAAACAACAATCATTATAATAATAATAGACTACATAGGACAGTATGGTTTTGAGAATGAGATGCAAGCCGATGCAGCATTTGTGCTTTCGTTAAACAAAACAAAACAACAACACGGCCACTCGAAAAACTCAGAAAGAAGAAGTGCAGCTCACAAATAGTATAGCCAGCAAGAAATCTTAATTATCCAAAGGATTGATATAGTAAATTCTTACCAAATGGTCCTGTGTCACTTCTAAAGGAACTGGGACGTCCACTACCACTCTGTGACTCTACAACATGACCTGTGAAGTCTGGAGTCAGGGTCTTTGTGTTGTAACAAATGGCAAACTGCGCTTGCGCGTTTGGATTAGTACCATAGCACA